ATTATTATCATTATTATCATTATTATTATTGATGCCTTTATAGATGTTGTTATTGGTTGTGGTGTTTTTGTTGTTGATACTGCTTTTGTCATTATTATTATTGCTGTTGTTAATAATGTCATTAATATCAATATACTACGCACTTGTTTATTACGTTACTTAAACATACCAAAAAGAGAAAAGGAGGAAATTTTAGAAGGCCAACATATAATCATAATAAGTCAATAATCATGAGCATCATGACTAAGCTATTGATAATTCAAAAAATTTACACATGAAGCAAACGACGCTAGTTGTTATATTATCTTTAAGCAAAAATAAACAAACATAATATTGAATCCTACAGCATTAGGTGGAAATCTAGACAAAATCTACAGGTGCGGCAAGAGCCTAGACCCCGCAAGCTATCTGGAATAATTTTAAAAGACTGGACTGAAGAGATAGAAATAGGGAAATGGCATAGTTTAATGCTTCTATCAACACGGTTAGGTCATTTAATACGCAGGACCTCCGTGTTAAACGTCCATCTCCGAAAAAAACCGAGCCAAACGAGAAATTCGTGTAAAGCGTCATTCCCAAGGACACAACGTCGGACAGAGCTGCCGCTCGAACCCCGAAACCGCAATCTCACGATTACGAGTCCGGTAGCCTAACCACTAGGCTACTGACGCCATTCTGAAGAGATAGGACTGAAGAGACGGAACTGATACCCTGGTAGTAATGCGTGTTACCAGCAGAGGGTCCTTGCAGCCTGCAACTCAAATCTCGAAATATAACTACTGTAATCTAATTGTGTCACGACGCGGTGGAATCAGGCGCTGGTCAATTTCTGGGCACGAGAGGTTATTGGTATCCACTTAAAACTTATTCATTTGCCTTGCTTTGGATGGAAAAAGTACCCACCTATATTAAATAAATGTCGAGATATTTGCGGTTGAAGGGGGAAGGGTTTGCTGGTTTCAGATGTAAAATTAGCGAGAAAATGGTAACCAAAGTTTGGGAATTCCATAGCTTGACAGTCCATGGAAACTGAAAATTTACATTTTGTGTGCCTTTAATCAACGTTTTTCAGTAAAAATACACACAGAAATGTGTTTTAAATGAACATATAAGGTTTTGTGTCAATAAAAAACAAAAAAATTCGATTAAAAAAACATTGCCATACCGGTGGGAAAATCCCGGTTTCTTCGATTGTATTATTTTGCTGAGCGCCTGATTCCAACAAAATGCCTTGCAATTATACAACATTTACGCCTGCATCACACTACTTAGATTATTCTGAAGGCTAACTGTTTCCGCCATGTCTGTCAGGGCCAACCCCCGGGCTGAAAGACGTCCCAGCAGATAGACAGGGATACTCCACGAAATTTCCACATAGCCTACTTGGGAATCGAACTCACATCTCCTGCTTGCGGAGAAAACAAGGGAAACCATATCGTCGCCTCAGAATCAGAACTATTTTGTCCAAAGCGTAAAGAGGCACTTAGGACATAATATTTTTAAGGCGACGATTTGCCTAACCGCTGCACCACAGACGCCGATTCAAGTTGAAAATCAAAGCAACAATAGAACAAGAATTAGTGATGAAACCACACGACCGTACATGGCCTATGTATGGACAGCAGCTTGTGACACAAGGAGAGAACCAAAGAGCACGTTGTGAAAGAAAGAAAAACCAACCCTGAAAAAAATTAATGAATGGAGATTCGTCACAATAAGGTGATAGCGTTAAAGTAAAGTAAGACATTTGAAAACAGTTGTACGTCATAGAAACACACGTTAACTAGTAGCTCACTATAAGCCTAGGAAGAAACCCCACTACCACATCCCATTTGAAAAAACTCATAAAAGTTGACAAGGAACATCAACCCAACAAAGAAATATCCCCACAAAAAACCCAACTAAAGACACTAAATGGACGACAAAATTTATCGGCTGACATTTCTTCTCAAACATTGCAAAAACAATAACGAAAATAATAATCATAATGCTATCCTGTCAGAGTACATGGAGTTAAAACCCAACAAAAATAAATCCGATTTTAAAAAGCAGTAAACATCCTATGGTAATATCTCTGAACTTACTCCCATCTTTCTGCGATGTGGGCTACATTAGAAAAGCTAATGATAACAATATAATGAACTTCCTACTACACATTGTGTATTAATTAATGAGCTTCAAAAGCCTAAAGGCAGACTTCTGTTTCAAAAGTAACTAGGTGAGCAGTCAACAAAGAAAGAGCAACAGTGACTAGACAGCGAGCGTAGTACAAAGATTGTGCTATAATATACAACAGCACTACTACTGGGTCAACTCACGTCCACGCTCTATGGTGTAGAGACGCACAGCGCAGGGGGTGGTTCAAAAGACAACAACAAATCGTTATTTATTTTTTAT